GTATCCTGGGAAATATGAAAAATCTTCTGGACAGCAGTAAGCCGACAAATAAGTGAAAATCTGGGGCGGAAGAACCTCAAATCGCCCTTTAAAAAAATATGACTAGGGGCGGATTGACCTCTCAAAAAAAAAAAAATAGACATTTAACCTTTTAAAATTGTTGGTCGATCCAAATCACACATTATTTAATTATTGATATTATCATCACAATCTCTGTTTAACCCATGTCAGTGTGTCAATTATTTAAATAAAGTCTAAATTATTTATATTTTTAGCGTTTAAAAAATTACCTAAATTATTTTTACGAAAAATAAGAGATTTTAAATTCAAATTTTATAACATGTAAGAGTGAGATAAAAGAAAGTAATTATCGACTTTTCTTTAAATAAAATTTTGAATTCAAATTTTATAAATAGAGAAACATGCATAAAAAGAATTTTTCCCTTATGAAATCTAATTATAAGATATTATGAAGTTAATACATAAAAAAATAAAAAATATTTTTTTATTATACCATTTAGATAAAGGAAAAAAAAAAGCTTTAGGCGAAGGCATGAAGTTGCCTTTTCATAGAAATGAGGGAAATAAAAAAAAAAGAGCTTTCATTGGACCAACCCAACGCAACTCGGCAACTACGATCTGGGTGGAAGGGAGATATATTCCAATCCAGAAACAGTAACTAGTTGCGCAACTGCTCCGGGTTTCGGTCTTTATGGAGAGGTTCTATTGAAGTTGGAGGCAGTTCCATTCGAAGTGGCGTCTCTGTATCTTTGCCATCTGGTGACACTGATATAATCTACTTATATAATTTTTATTTATAATTTTTAAATATTATTTGATAAGTAAATATATATAATATTATAAATTTATAATTATAATATATTATTATATAATTATTTTTTATTTAAATTTATCAATAATATTATACATATCTTCTTATTTAAAGACACATTATGTTTATAATAAACTACAATCTTATGAGGCATTACAACTATATATATTGTGGTTTCACAAAAATCAGTGAATTAGCTAAGGAAAGAACCAAGTAGAAATTAAGTATATATGGTAGGGATGCACTTTTATATGTATATAAATGTGTGTATAAGTTCTAACTTTTAGAAGAAGAAAAAAAAAAGATTCCCAACTTAAAAAATATTATCTTTTAATAAATATTTTTAAAAATCAACTGTTAGATTTAATATTTGATTAATATAGATCGTATATATCA